CCATTTTTTCTACAAACTGTACAAAAATAAAGATAATTATAAAATTTGAGAATTGGGAAAGAGTTGGGAAGGATTATCCAACATAGCCTTTCTTTTCAAAGTTGAGGAGATTGAGGCCCAGGGAGATTAAGAGCAAGATCATACAGCTAGTTGGTGGCAGAGCCAGAATGGGAACCTACATCTTTTAAAATAAAATATTCATGAATAACTATTAATAATATGGGTAAGGTAGATTAGCATGGGTCAATTTTTAATTCATTGACAACTTTAATTATAAAAATGTCATAGGGTTTAAAAAGCTTTTTGCTCTTTAAAAATAATCTTGGCCAGGCACAGTGGCTCACACCTATAATCCTAGCACTTTGGGAGGCTGAAGCGGGAGGATTGCTTGAGGCAAGGACTTTGAGACCAGTCTCAGCAAGAGCGAGACCCTGACTCTACAAAAAATAGAAAAATTATCTGGGTGTGGTGGCTCACACCTGTAGTCCCAGCTACTTGGAAGCCTGAGGCAGGAGGATCATTTGAACCCAGGAGTTTGAGGTTGCAGTGAGCTATGGTGACAACACTATGCTCTAGCTCAAGCGACAGCACAGGACCCTGTCTCAAAAAAAAAAAAAAAAAAGTCTTTTAACATGATGGAGGCAATACTGTTACAAAATTAGATTATTTTCTCTCTACTTAAAATTGTTTTGTTTTGTATTCCCACTGAGAATTTTTAAAAAGAGAATTTTAAGAGAGACCATTACACTCTATACTATATATAATTAAAAATTAATGCTGAAGAGCTTTTCAAGTAGATCGTGAAAGTTTAGTTATTTGAACAAGCACAGATAGTAGAATAACTCTAGAAAACAAAGGCAAAAAGTTCCGTTAAGACAGAAGAGTGCAAACTAGATATTGGAAATACACAGAACAGTGTCCTTTACAAGCCTGGTGTGAAGAAGTGTGTGTGTGTATGTGTGTGCGCTAGTATGAATGGACAGTGAAAGGATAGAGTTTTAAAAATTATTCAAGAGGGAACATTTTTTTATGCAGAATAGCTTTTCTTTATTTTTAAGGCCTAGGTTTAGAGTGTTTTTTGGGAAAGAAGGACTGAACAGCTAGTGTAAACCCAGTTTAGCATTTATGTTAAAATTAGGGTAATTAGGACCTGCTTCAGTCTGCCAGGGCAGCTAATTTTCTGCCCTGCACTCAAAATTATTCCTTTATCTTCCTAAGAAAAATTCTCAGCTTTTTGGTGAAATAATAATAATCATATCTAATATTTACTGAAATCTTACTATATTGACAGGCGCCGAAGCTACCTTATAAGATTTTGTAGGGATTAAATAAGGTAATGCATGTGAAGTACCCAGCCCAAAGTACGAACTAGTAATTTGGTTACAGGCATCATTTATTAATATTAATGTCTATTCCAAACAATTGTAGGAGAGTAATATATGGCTTCTAGGTACTTTGGCTGGGCTATGAATTATTTGAGACAGATTAACTGGAGAAAAGCCATTTTTAACCACATATATAAGTCCCACAAAATATGAGACTTGAAGAAGGGTCTGATCATTGAGCTACAGAAAAGACAAAAGGCTTAGGACTTCTGAGGGGGAGCAGTGATGACACAAATTATGGGAGAGATTGTATGATAAATTAAGATTGCCTTGTGCAGATAAAAAATTTCATAGGTAATAAAAGTTGTCTAGAGTAGCTAATGTAGATTTCCTTTATAGATGTAAATTTCTTTTACAAAAGGATAGTTTTTCAAAGCTACTCCTGTGTCTACAGTTTCTCAGAATAACCAACTCAAAATATGCCAAAGAAGTATATTTTGGGGTGGCATATACTGATCTCCTACTGTCATATTTTGGAGTGATATGTCCTGAGCCCCAGCACAATCAGGTATGCATTATCTCCATTTACAGAGGAGGAAGCTGAAACTCAAAGCAGTTAAGAATTTCACTTAAGTTTACAGAGCTAGTAAAAAACAGTTGAAATTCAAACCCAAACCCAAATCATGTTTGACTCTGGAGCCAGAACTTTTTAACTACTGTAGTACACTATATCTTTTGTTTTGTTAAAGCTGTCAACCTAAAGGAAGAAGTTGAGGCACAAGATAATTTTAAAGAGTTTACTTGAGTCAAAGTGAAGACAGCTGCCCAGCACACACTTCCAAGTTTCCCTGGGGAGGGCTCCATTTGGCCTTTGTTAAAAGTAGGTTTTTAAAGGCAAAGTGGGACAAGGAGTGGGCTGATACAAAATTGTTTGACAGGAATTCTCGTTGGTTCACAGAAATAACATTCATCAGTGATTGGCTGTACATTGTTGAACTATTGGGTACAAGTTACCATCTCTAAGCATATGGCATTTTATGGCTAGTTGGTGGTTGGTGTCTGTTAGTCCAGAGCCCACATAGGAAGTGGCTTCAAGTGGTAATTATTTAGCTCAGGGAAGTAAGATGTGATTACTGTGGGGTTTCAATGCCTTTCTGAACCTAGCAATTTAAATGGGCTCACATTCCTCATATAAAAAGTTTCTTTTCTTGCTCAAAGCTCATGCATATCATCTGCTAACAGCATTTATTGCTGCTTTAAAATGGGGGAAATTAGTGGGCAGAGAAAATTCAGAGAGAAAATGTTTTTGTTGATTTTCTGTTCTACATGGGGTGGTGATAAGGAAGAGACTTTGTGTCAAAAAGATTATATTAGAAAAAATTAAAATACAGGTAAATTTCTTATCATGAAATAATACAAACTTATCATAGATTTCCTTAACTTTACATAGACATTTTCCATAGTACAGTGAAGAAATGTTACTGAATAAAGGAGCTAACCACCAGTGTGCAGAGAAGTCACCAGCTTTTGAGAAGAAGAAAGGCCAGCCATCAACAAGACAGGAGATGTGGCTCAAATTTGTCTCTCTGATTCAGGGGTCTGGAGCAAGTTTTAAGGGCCCAGGGGGCAAGGATTTAGGAATGTTGGCTTGGCAGGATCTGATTGGAAGGCTTCCAATTTGGTCATTTACAGCAAGGTATGTTTGGGGCAGATTTTAGCCCAGGATCTTCCTAGCCAAGAGATCCCTTGCTTTTGAGAGAGTTCCAGAATTCAAGTCCTGGTCTTCCTGGTTCCATTGGGAGGGATTGTTGGTTCTGGGTGTTATTGGAGGTCAAAGCTCTTTCTATTGCACATGCCCAGGCTACATGACTTGAAGTTTGAGTTCTTCTACCTGCTACGTAATTTGACATTTTGTTATCAACCAGAGTAGGCCCAGGTTGAAATGGTCCTGCAGTTGCTGAAAGATAATTAAAGAGGTGAAGAAAACACTATTTTAAAAATAAAATAGGTGAATTTTGGTGTTGCCTTGAAGATTTCCTATTTAAAGAAATGTTCAAACGGTCCTACTCTTAACTTGCCATTTGACTGTTTTTGCACAAACTGCTCATCCTGAGGCAAATCACAGAAGATCAAATCTTCTGTGATTAACTGTATGATTTGAACAGGTCATAGAATTTATATTCCAATGTGGCCTTTTGGGCAATGTGTGCTGTTCCCAGTCACCATGGTGAAATTGAAATAATAAAGTGTTTTTCCTTCTACTTCTATGGCACTTTGCAGTTTTCAAAGATTTTTCACCACATTATCTGATTTGGTATTCATAATGGCCTAAGAAGGAAGAGAATGAGTATTCTTCACATGAGCTACTTAAGCTGAGAGATTAAGTCATTCCCGCAGGGTCATAGTGCTGGTGGATGGTAGATAGCAGATGAGGATCAGATGCTCCAGCACAAACGCCAGTGTTCCTTACTGTACCTCATGCTGTGTCTCACTGGCGATGTGGCTGCTCTGAATGCAAACTCTTAACCTGCCATTTGACTGTTTCTGCACAAACTGCTCATCCTGAGGCAAACAGTAGCAACCTGTGCAGAGAGGCCCCATCCCCTGGGGAGCTTGCCTGACCAGATTTGCAGATTGAGCAGTCACTGTACAACGGCTTGGTGAATCATTTGGCCATGGAAGAAAAGAGCCATCGGAACTCTTTGTAGATTTAAAAATATGAATGATACAATGCTGACAAATGGAAACAAAACAAAAAACTTCTCTAAGATGAATATAATATTTTGTATACATTAGTTTAAAATACTGTCTTATAGGTCTTTGGTTTCATTTGAGGATTTCATTGGGCATTGGGGCTTTTTTTTTTTTTTTTTGCCTTAGTTAAGAGTTTTGAAGCCTTTACAGACAAGATTGTTTTATACTGTATGTATGAAAAATAAACCTCAGAAATGTACAATGATCTTCAAAGGAATAGAGTAAAAATATCCTTAAAAATAACTCATGTTTACTGAGCGTGACTTATGGGTCAGGCCCATGTTATTTCCTTTTCGTTAATCATTTAATTGAATCCTTGCAACAACCTAGGTAATAGATTCTGTTAAGATTCTTATTTTATGGATGGGAAAACCGTAGCTTCAAGAACTTAAGTTCAAGTAAAAATTTTTGAATCAAAGTTCAGTGTGATCTTTTTAATAAAGAATTTTGGAAGGAACTGTAGCTAAACATTTCTGGTTAATTTGGCATTAAACAAATATAATAAACCAATTAAATAAAATATAAAACAATTATACTGCCAAAGTATAGCGATTTGCACAATTCTATCCCGTTTTATATTAATATTTAAATGTCTTATTTTGCAGTTTTTAGCAGGGTAAAAATCTTTTTTTAATGGTAATAAAGGCCGGGCGCAGTGGCTTACGCCTGTAATCCTAGCACTCTGGCGGATTGCTCAAGGTCAGGAGTTCAAAACCAGCCTGAGCAAGAGCGAGACCCCCATCTCTACTATAAATAGAAAGAAATTAATTGGCCAACTAATATATATAGAAAAACATTAGCCAGGCATGGTGGCGCATGCCTGTAGTCCCAGCTACTCGGGAGGCTGAGGCAGTAGGCTCACTTGAGCCCAGGAGTTTGAGGTTGCTGTGAGCTAGGCTGATACCACGGCACTCACTCTATCCTGGGCAACAGAGTGAGACTCTGTCTCCAAAAAATAAAATAAAATAAAATGGTAATAAAGATAATACTTTACATTTATAAGATCTTTATGCCTTCTCAAGATTAAGGGGGTCAGCTCTTCCGGGGTCACTGTCTGCAGGCACTCAAAATGGTCCAGCATTTGACATATCGTCGTAGGCTTTCCTACAATACAGCCTCTAACAAAACTAGGCTGTCCCGAACCCTTGGTAATAGAATTGTTTACCTTTATACCAAGGAGGTTGGAAAGCACCAAAATCGGCACGTGGTGTGTGCCCAGGTAGACTTCGAGGGGTTCATGCTGTGAGACCTAAAGTTCTTATGAGGTTGTCTAAAGCAAACATGCCAGCAGGGCCTATGGTGGTTCCATGTGTGCTAAATATGTTCATGACAGGATCAAGCGTGCTTTCCTTATCGAGGAGCAGAAAATCGTTGTGAAGGTGTTGAAGGCCCAAGCACAGAGCCAGAAAGCTAAATAAGAAAATGAACCTTTATTGAGGAATAAAAATTAAAAGGCTTAAAAAAAAAAAGATTTAGAGGTCAGACTTCAGTAATTAAGTTAAAAAAAAAAAAAGATTTAGGGGTCAGACCAAATATATGGTTTAATAACTTGATCAGAAAAACTTCTATTTTCTTGAATTGCCTAGAGTAGAATTTCCTAAAGAGGGCTTTTATAGAACTAAAGGTTTAATGGTACATAGAGAGGGGTTCCATGGTCAGGTAACTCTGGAAAATACTGTGCTAAGCATCAGTAAATGAGTTTCTTTTCTGCAAGACTTCTCTGAGCCTGTGCAATGTAAGCCTATGCCTACTTAAAGAGGAAGATGTAATAAGCAGTATTTCCCTAACTTACTAGTTTTATATGTAACTCTCATCTCAGAAAACCTGGGATTAGTGTTTTAAGGAACATACTTTAGGAAAATCCTAAACTAATATCTGGGAGGAAATACTGGTATTTAAGATTCAAGTGTTTGCTGTCTACTCAGATGGACAATAAAATTGCCAACCTTCATTTGTGTAGACTTGGCACTATCATTATTCAAAGAATAGCAGCCTTCTGTTCAGTGCCTTATACCATAAAAATGTAAACTCATTTTTTATTTTAAATGTTCTATTAAGATTATGTGTTCTTTATAATAAAGAAAAGTCAGTACATACTAAATGTCCCTTAAGATGGTAATGCTTAAGTAAATTATGTTACATATATAGGATAAATATCTGTGTCAAAAAATATTCTTAGAAGAATACATATTGAGACAGGAACATTCTCAAATTATATTGGGAAGTAAAGGCCATAAAACAGAATATACAGTGTTGTCCCAATATTGTAAAATAAGCAAATAAAAAGCAAAACCAGAAAGGACTGGAAGGAACAAAAACATCAAGATGTTAACCTTATGAATAAATCAATTAAAACCTCTATCTCATTTAAATATTAATGTATATGCTACCATGTGTAGTTGTCTGGTTGGTTGGTTGGTTGGTTGGTTGGTTGGTTGGTTGGTTCTTTTGGCTAATGGGTCAAGTCTTATGTTTATGAAACCAAATTCAGAAGAAATCTTAAGATTTGGATGTGGCTTTTACCTTTGTCAGTAACACATAGATAAGTCAGGAAGGTCTTTTGCTTACTAGTGTCTGCAGCTTTCACTGTGGAAGAAAAGTATTCTCTTCTAACCTGGGAGGCGCTGATGATGATAGCTGCTCTGTGTCCCCGGCTGTGTCCTGAAGCTTAACTGACTTTTGGCCTCAAGGTGGCCTTACTGTTCTGAGCAAGTACTTAGAGAATTACTATAGGAGTGTACAGGGAAATCACTCCAAATTTTTACTTGGCTTTGGCCTGCTCGGTAAATGCTTCACTAACATGCTCAGGCACCACTCAGCCTATAATTCCTCCAGTTCACGCCTCCACCCACTAGAGTCCATGTTCCGCCCACAGTGCTCTATAGGAGTCGCTGGGCTGAGCTTGCTGTGATCTCCAGTGAGCTCTTCCTTTTTGGTTCTCCTTGTTGATATCCTTGAAATGTTGGCCTCACTTGGCTCGTGTCCAGGCTTCTGTGTTCTTTTCCTGGCTCTTCTCCCTCTGCTTGTCCATGGGATGTTGGTGTTCCCTGGGGGCTCCATTCTCCATGCTTTCTTCTCACTCCTGCATCATTCTTTATACCTGTAATCTCGCTCCATGGGCTTGAAATCACTCACTTTCCCTTCCCTACTCTAGAAGGGAGGAGGAACTGGATTTGGAGTATTTAAGCAGTTGGCATAAAGTTACTCAAAGTATCATTGAGAAGAATAAATACAGTGAAAACAAAATATTTTATTTTACAAATATTAACTTATTAGATCATAAGAAAGATAATTCTCTACCCCAAGTTTCAGAAAGAAAGTAAATAATTTTCCTTCCTTGGGTCATAGAAACCAATAGCAATTCATTATATTTCCTTTCTCTTGAAGGCTGTCTTCCCTGGACAGCTTTTCTCTGTCTCCCATACACTAGTAACTGTTGACCTTCCAACATAAGTTTCTACTTTAACAGTTTTTTTCTCTTGTTCCTCTGAATTGCCCCCTTCACCCCTCATGTACCATTTGTATGTGCATTACATAGACAACTAATACTCGAGCACTATGTTCTATCTACTCAAAAGTGTTCTAGGCACCTAAAGGTTGCTAGTGTGCTTGTTCTGTCTCTCTCTGTCCCTCTCCCTACCCCGCCCCTCATTTTTATCTCACTGCCCTTTACAAACTTGCACTAATACCTAGGCCACACACAGTAGGGTTTGACACTGCTGTTCAGCATGTGCCAGTCAAAGGGTTTAATGGGTTGACAGTAAATTAACATAATCCAGTTTAGATAAATACTACCACACATTTTTCAAATATATATGGTTTAATTCTTCTATTTTTCTAAACAGGAAAAATCAATTGTTGGGATTTATGGAGATTTTTCAAGTTCAGGTGCCAAATGTTTTCCCATTCATGCCTTCTACCACTTCTCCAACTGCATCTAGTAGTATCCTCATTAAAATGTTGTCATTAGAGGTCTCAGCTGCCTGCCAACAGGGTGAGGAAAATGTCAGATGATTTACAGGACCTAGGAATTGAAGGAGACAAGTCTTAAAAATGATCAAACTTAGCCAATCACTTCCTTTGGGAGCTGCAGGTCATTCTAAATTTTGGCAAAATCCATGCCGTACTCAGGGTAGATTTTCTATAACCTTAGAATTTATATTATACCATAAAATGTACTGTATGTCATCTTTTTTTAAAAATCCAAATACTGTTGGAACCATTATTTTGATTTTTTAAAATTCCAATTGATTCTTAGATAGTCCCATTTGTTTTCGTTGAGTCATGTATTTTCTCTTTTCTTTCTTTTTTTTTTTTTTTTTTTTTTGCCAAAGTTCATATTGGAGATAAAGTTAAACTGAAATAACTTTGAGTCCATCTTGCTACAGTTTGGTAGGATTGATAATTTGTCCTTTATTCTGTTAAGGTAAAGATGGATTGTTTCTACATGTATTCTGAATGCTTTTATTTTATATCAGACATAGTTCTTAAAGATTATATACAAAATTCCATGCATAAATCATTTCATTATGTAGAGAAATCAGTAACTCAGATATTGTTCCTGTGACACCCTACTAAATACAATTATAATATTTCCTTTCCACCATTTCCTAGATGAAAACAATATATCATAGAGCTTCCAGCTTTTGTTTTCCTAAATGTTGTGTTGGAACAAGTATTTGCTGGCATTTCTTCATATAGCTTATTATGAAAATAAAAAGCAGAAAGTTAATAAAAATGATTACTTCAAGTGAAAATCTATTAATTCAGCATTAATACTTTTGCACAATGCTTAAATTATAGTACTATATCAGTTTTTAATGTTGAGATCATTGTGCATTTTCACATTTTAAAGGCATTAATTTCACATTTTCCTGGTTTAATACAGAGCATATCACTTTATTATTAGTTCTGAGAGCTCTTAGGGATCATATCTTATTATTGTTTCTCCAGCACAAATTGCTTTGCCTGGCTCTTAGTAAACATTCAATAAATATTTGTGGAATGCTTAAAGAAATGAGGAATCTGGACTTCTGCTACCAAAACCGATATTATGATTTTTAATCTTCTTGTCCCATCAAAGAGAATTTAATTTTTTGCATCACTGTCCATTCTTGTCTTCATTCCTTCCTGTCTCAGGGGAATATGGTCCTAAAGTTAAGCCATTTTACATGATTCTTTTCATTTAGTATGCAAACATGCCCATATCTTTCCCATCTTCAATAACAACTGAACCCTTGACTCAAATAGCTACTCACTATCTCTCTCTTCCCTTTATTGCCATGCCTCTGAAACACCTCTCCTCCCTCACCTCTAGTTCTAGCCTCACATTATTTCATTTCAGGATCCTCTCTGGAGTCAGACACCAGGGGTTTGATCTTGGCATTGCCTCTTACCAGCTTTGCGACCATAGGCAGTTGACACAATCTCTCTAAACCCCGCAGGACATATCTCATAGAGCTGTCATGAAAATTAAGTGAGATAAAGCATTTAAAGTACTGCTGCATCACCCGGAATATAGTGAATGTTCAATAAATGGCAGCCGTTCTTCTTACTGATTGAAAGTGTAATAGGAATTCAGAGATGAGAAAGATTGGTGTAGGCTTAAGAATTATTTTGAATTCATCTAACTGCTCACTTATTCTTCGGATTAGGAAATTAGGGCCCAGAGAGGTTAAGTAGTCTATGTTTCATGGAGGAGGTGATATTTAAATTGGACTTTGAAGAAGAATAACCATAGTTTACATCTATTGAGTGTTCACTGTGGGTCAGGGACCATTCTAAATGCTTTACATAGGTTGTTTTATTTAATCCTCAAAACATTCCTATGAGATCAGATTTTGGCAGCTAGAAGTAGACAGTCTGAGGCTGGACAGGGAGGATAGAGAGCAAAGAATGAATAAAAACGTGGAGGAAGAAAAGACATACTGATTTCTGAAGACGGTGATGAGGCTTGCCAGCGGGAGTAAAGAGCTTGTCTTAAGCAATGCAGAGAACCGGTGTTGGACAGAGTGAGGCAAAATGGTAGGAGGCCTTGACAACTGCACCTCAACAAAATTGGCTTTATCTAATGGACAAAATAAAGAGCAGTTATAAATATATGACTTGGGGAAGGAAGGATACAGAATGGAAGTAGAGTTTTAGGCACAATGATTTGGTGACATGCACTATGAAGATCTGTGAAGGGCAGAATTAGAACGGTGTTCTTCATACCCGCTGGACTCACAGCCTCTACAAGCCACTTTTGGTTACCACTAGCCACTAGGAGAGTGTTAACACAGATTTCTATAAAGTAGGAGCTTTAAAAAGGTTTAGTGAGGGAATGAGTAAATAAATATAAAGGCAAATTGACTAATGAATTGGAGGTTGTTTCTAGGAGTGAAGTGCTAAGACCTGAGACTGTGTTTAAGACAGTGGCAATGGAAATATGGAGGCAAATCCTAGAAACAATTTTGAAGAAGAAACAATAAGACTTGGATAAATATTGGACAAACACTAATATTTAGAGCCATATTTCAAATTTATTATTTATAGCAAACTGTAGTGTCAGAGCCATTGCATTTGGTACATTTTCTTTGTGAGTTTCTTTAAGCAGAAATTCTGTATTTGAAACAACACATTTCAAGATGATCTTATAAGTAATTATTATTACTATTAAAACTTACATCTTGGCCGGGTGCAGCGGCTCACGCCTGTAATCTTAGCACTCTCAGAGGCCGAGGCCAGAAGATTACTCAAGGTCAGGAGTTCGAAACCATCCTGAGCAAGAACAAGACCCCCATCTCTACTAAAAATAGAAATTAATTGGCCAACTAAAAATATGTAGAAAAAATTAGCTGGGCATGGTGGCACATGCCTGTAGTCCCAGCAACTTGGGAGGCTGAGGCAGTAGGATCACTTGAGCCCAGAAGTTTGAGGTTGCTGTGAGCTAGGCTGATGCTATGGCACTCTAGCCTGGGCAACAGAGCGAGACTCTGTCTCAAAGAGTCTCTGTCTCTCTGTTTTCTACTCCTACTCCATTTCTACCACTTTTGCCCCCTAAGTGGATTGTTGTTGGAGTCTCCTACTGAACTCTGGCCAAATAAACCTCCTCATCCTCAATTACACCTGTTAGTTGCTTCCTCCCACCCTTTTTGTTCATACAGATACTCTCCCTCATGGATATCCTTTTTTCTTCTTTTTCATTCCTGTTACTAATTGAAACCTTAGCCACCCTTTAGGACCAAATCACATGCTACCTTTACCACAATGTCTGATCAGCCTGGCTGGAAATAACTACTGTCTCTCTAAACTCCCATGGCACTGCATCTCACTGCCTGGTCCTTGGGTTAATTGAGTATCCATTTATCAGTATCTTATTTGTAGCCTCTACACTGATAGTACTGTGTACTATCTAGTT